GAGGAAGAGAGAGAAAAAAAGAGAGACATAGGAAAGAGCAGAGGGGATGGAAACAATACCAGGAAGCAAAATAAGCAGGAGGAAAAGCCCTGTGCGGGAGACCAGCGTGAGAGTAGACTGCGGAGGCTACTGCTTCGCAGAGTCCACACCTGCTTTTCAAGTCTGCGACTCCTCGCTCACCCTGTACAAACACTGCAGCTGGGTCTTTACTACAGAAGCAACAGCTCTTGCCTCTGCATTACATAGATTCCCTGTGCATATTCTAGTAGGCTGCTTTTAATTACTGGCTAAATGGAAGATCGTACTAGTATTATGTAGGCCTAGGTAGTTAAGGCATCGAGATAAAAATGTTGGCTACAAAATAACCGATGATTTTCCTGCTGTCTGACTACAAACTCGTCGATGACAACAGGGTCCCTTTCGACTCCAGTCCATCAGAGCTGTAGGCACACACGGGAGGGATTGGAGTCTGCACATCAGGAGAGGGATCAGGTCAAGGAAGAGAAATTCAGCAAGCCAGGCCCAGGACAGAACTCGCAGAGACAGAGCCAAAGCCAGGGGCAGCAGCCAGAACTTTCCTCTAAAAGGCTGCAGGGCAATGAGTGCAGCGTAGTGATCAATTAGTACAAAACGTTCTACTAATTTTGAAAATCAATGCCCCACCTAGAGTTAATTCTCCAGAAACTGAGAAATTGTGTCTTGAAGAAGATGGGGTTTGTGGCTGACCATCTCATAGAAATAAAATCTATTTGAAAATAATCGCTTATATGTGGTAACTAATATTCTGTGCTCTGTGCCTTAAAATCTTAAATGAGATTTACAGCTCTCTCAATTCCTCAACTAAAGGATCCAAACCATCAATTTCATTTTTATTGATTTAATTACTTCACTGATCCTCAATAGAAAAACAACCCTTATATGTGCTTATTAGGATAATTAAAATTACCTAAAAAGATATATTAAAATATATTTTAGAAAACAAGGTTTATCAAAACACATTCTGATAAATTAACAGTGAATTATCCTTTAAAAATGATGAATATATACTGTTACTAACCATTAACTTTTATAATAATCAATAACTTATAAACTCATGAATAAAAAATACTCATAAAATTGATTACTTCTCAGGGGATTAAGGTATTTTTTGCATAGAACCTAGCATTGGTTATATATGGCATATTTTTCCTTTCTTAGCCTAATTAAAACATTTTATATAGTAAAAGCATCATAAATAATGTTTACTATGTCTTACCCAATATAGTTCAGCCTAGGAAAAATAATATATAGTCAATAATGCAAATATTTTTAGAAGCTGCAATTTGTTTAGTATAGATGGTTACTCAGTTTCTACAGTAATTCATTTAACTGGAACCCTTTAGAAAATGCTGCTGGATTGATCTAAGAATATATTAAGGACTAATCTGGTTGATTTCATGATACACAGTTGAAAACTCCTTGGGATATAATAACAGCTTTTCTTCCTCCCCTCTTTTATTATTTTAACTTCAAATAAATGGTTAAAAATAAAATTTATCAATATGATAACAGTGTTATCATGAAAGTGATTTTCTGGCCTAGGGATGATTCTGAATTTCACATTATTTATATCATTAATCTTGCATATAGCAAGAATTTCTAAGTCCAGTGTCATTCTCTAAACAATTTAAGACAACATAATGGTACTTTCATTCCTATATGTTAACTAGCCTTAGAGTTGCAAGATGTGTAAAGTGTGTGTGAAGTAGTAGAAAGATTCAGAAGGTGTGAAAATGAGAAAAATGTTTTGTGGGACTTTAGTACACTGATATACCCTTCTTGACAGCAATATCAAAATGGAGCAAAAACATAAAGATGTTCACACTTTTAACCCAGTGATCTCACTCTTGGGAAAAAACTGAACAGATGAGGAGTTGAATGCAGGAGGATACTCTCAGCAGCGTTCTATAACATAACACGTAATGGAAAACTATCTCAGCGGTTAACAAGAGAGGAAGTGGTGATTAATGTGATAACATCGGAAATAAAATTTATGATACAACCTTTAAAAATAAAAATAAGACTAGGTAGCAACATGGAGAAGTTTATGATATAATGTTAATGGTTTCCACAATGTAATGACAATAATGTAAAATATATATTCATGAATACAATGATCAAATAGTCCTATACAAAATGAAAATAGTTATTATTATTCATATTTATTATTAATTTTCCATCATACTGATGTGACACCTTTTACATTAAAATACTAAGGCTACTCGTTAATTCTATAATTTCTTTTCTAAGTTCTAATAGACAGTACTCCTAAGTCAATTTGGAACACTAAAAAGACTTGTGGGGTTTTATCTGAGTTAGTGCCCTAACGATTCATTACCTTTAAACAGTAGGAAATGAGCTATGAAAGTAGAAACACCAGTGAAGTTGTTCCTCTTTTTTTTTTTAGGTATACATTTTGACTGTCAGGCTCTTCCAGCTCATTGCCACTATCACTTTCCTCAAACATCCTTAGAATGTTGAACATGTGCTGTAAATTTCCACATATCTGTAATCCCAATCAGTACGCTGATCCATGAATCAGATAAGGAAAGTATTAGAGATCCAAAGGCTGAGGTTTCCAAAAAGGAATTAAGGTAAAATCGAAGTAAATTAGGTAGGAGGTAAAACTGAAATAAATTGGAAGAAAAAAAAAATCTGTGGCAAAGGTGGGAAACTCAAAGGCTGCAGGAGGTAACAGAAATGAGTGTAGCAGGCTGGGTCCTAAGTAATAGGGAGTAAGAGAGACTGTGGCTAACTGCAAAACTTTCCCTGTTTAAAAGCAGCAACCCCCAGTCCACAGTTCTAACAGGTTGCTGACATGCATGAATGCAGATCCAGGGCTGCCAGATATTCAGTCATTCAAGGGAGGCCAGAAATGTCGATGCCCATGTGAAATCTCTGAGTTTCTGTTGACAACTACTTAATTGGTTTTAATTTTTCATTCCCTGAGATAGCCAAATAATCGATGCCCTTGCACTTATTTTGTTTTATGGGCTCCCTGTGTGCCCCCTCAGATTTCTAATTAGTATGCAGAGACTTCTTGAAAGGATTATCTTTATTTGCCAGAAGTCACGTTTTCAACGGAGGCCCTTTGCAGGCAAAACAAAGAGAAAAATGCTAAACGGTGAAGCTGGTCAATTGTGAGCGTAGGGGAAAGCGTAAATCAATAAGGGCTTGCAACCTGCAAGAACACTGTGAGAAGACCTGAATGTTCCTGAGGAGCAAAACCTTAGAAGATTTTACTTTTATTTGTCTATAATGACTGAGGAAAGATTCTGAGTCACTACAAAAAGGAAATTAGCCCCAAAGGCTTTTTATTAAAAATGATCAGAATGAAATGACAAAATTTGACCAAGAGGGAATTGCCATGAGCTACCAACTGGCAAATAGGAACCAGCTGTGTGTCCTGCATTGCACCTGCCTGTTGCTAGTTTCCATTTACTATCCCATTCCTTCCAACTCTCATTTTCCATCCCCGGAGGTTAAAGGAAGTCCCTAAGGACTCCGAAGGAATGGTGGTCTGGCTGAGTAAAGGAGGAAACAGGAGGCCACGCATAAAGGTGTTTTTCGTTGAGCAGCAGGAATTGACCCGTCATCAAAGTTGGGCTCTGCGGATGGGAGGGCAGGAGTGGCTGGAAGGAAGGGGAAAGTTGTCTACTCAACTAACCATTTGCGTCACATGCACCCAAGGAAAAAATGTTTACCTGGTGGAGCCACGGTTAACCTTTTTTCCTTGCTGAGCCGCTGCCCTTGGATGAATTCACTCATGGAAGGGGGGCCCTTCAGAAGAAATGATTCTGTGGAGGTGGGATCAGGGGGAACTCTTAATAAATGCTGTAGGTAGGAAGCCCCTGAAGTCCTGGGATGGCTCTGATCACAAAGGGAAGGTGAAAATTGTCTTGCAGGAGATCCAAGAAAATACATATAGGAAACAAAAAAGTTTTACTTTAATTACCTTTCAAAGCCTCACCAGTGACAGCATTATTCATATTGGCATTTAATTTTTTTAACATGTAAATCAAGATTTTTGCTAATTGTTTAGTTTCCACACCAGGATACAGCCCCATTTGGAAACTGTATTGGATACTGAAAAAAGAGATTTACTATAATTAGTTTGAACCACAAATGGAAAATATGAATATTATTCGATTTCTTACTAAAAGCTCCTAAAATTTTTTACCATTAACTGAAAATATAGGATAAGTAATTCAACATCCAGGACTCTGTAAAAAGGTCAGAAAGTCAAGCCACTAAAAACCTTACAAGTGATTTCTTTGAGCAATATTCACATACCAAATGAAACCGCACAAAAACCTGCTTTTAAGAAAAAGACTATACACATTCCATCCCATTTTACCTAAATATAGGCATCACCTTTAGTCAGTCATCAGTGTTGGTAACATAAACAAAAGTTCCCCTAAGAGAACGTATTCATATCCTTGCCCCATTAAAGAGAAGCTGGTAAAAGCACCATTACCAGAGGTACAACGACTTTTAAAATGACCACCCCTGTAAAACATAGCTTCGTTCTTAATATCCACCTTTATCTACCAACTTTTTAGGTTGGAGGTAAGGGAGAGATATATTTTTACACACAAGGAACAGCAGAAACATTGACAGACACTTAGAAGTTATATTATGGTTAAGAGGTGGGGTGTGAGGGACAGAAAGGAGTAAATAAACACAATTATCAAAAGGTTTTGATTTGGTAAAAACCAACATCCGCAAGGTCCATTTATACACCCACTCCCAGTCCCCCCACCCCATCTCCCACAATAAGAACACGTTAATTTTTGCAATTAACTAACATCTGGCCACTGCACCATGCTATGAAGATTGCCGCATGCATACCTTTTCCTCTGAGTGCCACTGCTGACCCGAATGTTGGGTGTCTGTGGGCCCTGCCTACGCAGGAGGTAAGTGTCTATGGTGGGCACGGTGACTGAGGCCTCCCCACTTACTTTAGGGCTGCCGATCTTGCTCTTCCCAAATTTGCCTTTGCTGCGCCGGGACTGCTCATGGTCAAACTCTAAGTCTTCCAGCCGCTGGGTCAGGGCGAGCTTTTGCTGGATGGCCATTCGCAACAAAGTATTTAGAGTCTTCTTCTCGTCCTCCGCGGCTGCTAACTGTCTCTGCATCTCATCCAGCTGTGTGACGTACTCATCACATCTGGAACCAAAACAGAAGCGTCGTCAGGAGAAAGCCTTGGCGAAACCGAATGTGGAATTGAAACAGAAAAGTAATCGATTTTACTAGAAGTTCGATATTTAGAACACTGGTCTTCCTAGAGCAGAGTCAAGGTAACCTAGTCTAGTGGAAAATTAGAAACAGGAAAGCAGGTTGAGTAACTGATGGTTCACCCTCACAATGGAGTAGATATGGGGACATTCTTGGTAGGTGACGTCTTAAATCCCAGGGACAGTTATTGTGGGGGCCGCTGCGCGGAGCCACAGCAGGGAGCAGGGGTGTCTCAGGCAGTGTGCCCAGCCTCTCACATGGGTTACAGTGGCTTTTTCTACTGGGCAATGTGTGCTTTGGAAGAATGTGACGAGTTGGTTACAGGTTGTGCCTATAACATGCAAAAGAATAATAATGTTTATGAAGAAAACATTTCCTTCTTTATCTATATTTATAGGTTTTATTTTAATCGAGCAGAGATTGTAGCTGCCACTGCTTTCAATCTGGCAAGTTTGTCTGAATTGGAAACCTGGGTATTTTCAATGATTTCTTAACCAGATGATTAAGCAATAGGTGTCCGAGGAAACCAAGATTCGCATAGGATTTGAGACAGACAGAGAGGGCTGTCAGACCCCTTTATTCAGGTTTAATACTTGTGCTGCAGCCGGAAGATACGCTCAGTGATCTTTTTCCCCCATCAAAGTAAAACCGGAGCACACATACGTTTGGAACAAAGAGTTACTCACATGATTAGCCAGTTTTTCCTGAGTTTACTTACCCACAAAGATAATAACAAATACTCTTCATGTCCTAACAGACAGTTAATGACTTTGTTGAATTATCCAAAATGGATTGTACACACTTTGAAGTCAGCACAAGCCTTGTGGCATTTTAAAGAAACAATAGACTGAGGTGAAAGACTTTGAGATTGGGGGGGGGCTACTTTCTTTTACCTTGAATGTTAAGCAGCATGGTAGGGATGTCTTAAGAAAATCCAGGGCTCAGTCAAATACAATGTGAATTTCAGGATCCTGGATTTATTTTAATTGGTCACATAACAGTATTTTTAAAAATGCTATGGAGTATGGCAATTACTATACCAAAAAAACAAATTTCTGTGAAAATGCACCATTTGAGGGAAATAATTCTTATATAAAACAGATTGAGACTTTAAATGTCCCTTTAAAAAGGTTGGATTTCTTTTCCAAAGAGGAAATTTGTTTTGCTGATTCAACGCATCATGCTGACTGGTCTTTCCTCAGGGAGAGGTACATGCACCACTCTCATTCTCTGTCCTGCCTCCCCTAACAGTGGCCAGAGGTACATATATTCTACTCCCCCAACTCCTATGATTGGAGACCCAGAGTCAGTTCCCTCGGTTCACCACGCCCCTGGGGTCCCTCGGGCACTCAGTCTCCTCACTGACATCTCCAAGAGAGTCGATCACAAAGTATAAGCTTGAGCCTTTCTCTCCTGACACCCAAAGAAAGCCGGACAGGTACCCAGGCTCCTACAGAACCCAGGATTTACTTTTACACTTATACCAGCTACATGTAAATTATTTACTGAAGCTGCAAATAAAGGCTTAGTGATGCTTTGTGAACTTTGTACCGAGTTTGCATCATATAAGATATGTAACTGTTTTTATTTTGGCAATAAATCGTGACAGCAAAAAAGGTCACATATTGAGAATCTCAGGATTTTGAATGCCTTGAATCAACACTTACTTAACAATCACTTAAAGTTTAAAAACAAAATACAGTGGTACCACGTAATTAAACTGGTGGAAGGGGGGTAGTAATTAATATGTATCTAACTAATTACTTGGGCAATATGAATAATTTGGTGATATAATTATACTTTAAAAGTTATATTTACATCAGTGTACTAGCCTAAGTAATTAGCTGATACTAATATTAATCTTCATTATGAGATATTTTTAATACAATACATATGAATGACAAGCACTTTTATGTACTTTGGTGATAGTAAATTTCAGTGGTGATAATATTTAGCTACTTAGCAAATAGGGATTTTTTTCCTTGTTGGAAGCTTTTTTGTTGTTCTAATTATTTTAGGTACATAAGCTCCATTGTAAATATAGAAAAAAATAGAAAAAATATCTATTCTGGTCATTTAAAAATACTTCTACGTAAAGGAATTGCTTGACTCAGTCCGTCCAGTAGAGGGCTCTGGAGATCAGCACAAAAGGTCTTGCATTTGTCAGAGTGGAATCTCTTCTATTTTCTTCACAACTTAGACACTCAAGATGCAGGAAGATACCCATGTGAATTTCAGAGTCTTTTCCACATGTACCAGACCTAATCTTGGAAGAGAAAACCATTACCTGGTTGCAAACATTGCTCTCAGGGACGAGAAAGTTGCTGCATCTTCTTTCAAAGCCTTCAGTTCGTTTCGAAGTTTTGTCATTGTCTCAGTCACCATTGCTTTCTCGTTTTCATACTTGTTCTTGAGATTAGCTAGGGCCACCTCAGCTGTCTAAAGCAGAAAAATCACAATGCTTACAATGTTCATAGCAGGAAAATCTATCGACAGAGGTCTTCATGATTGTCTATGACTTTCTTTAATAAAGGGAAGTGAAATGGATTTGGTTAAATTTTATATAAACACAGGTATGTACTTTGGACATAAGGAAGTTTTTCTTTAATGTCAAAATGTGTTGTGAATCCTTAATGTGGTTAGACTGCCCTAGAAGCCAGCTAGGAACCAGAGTCAGTATCAGGAGCTACGGCAACAACAGTTCAGTAAATATATAATGCAGACTGTTGAGAGTGTGGGATTTTCAAAAATGAAGGGAGCCAAAAGGAAACTTTATACACGAAGAATTTTATTAAGGAAAAGTTGGGGGGAGAAAGCACTGCTTCCAACTGAGATATAATAGACTCAAATATTCTTGGATCATCTGTGCTCTGTGGGCCTGAAGCAAACAGAATAGAAGATGTAGGCCACCGCAATTTATGACATGAGTATATAACACACTATCAATCCATACTTTATATTTAAGGGGAAAAATTAACAAAAAATCAATAATTTCCTGTCTTTGCATACAACTTCTTCAAAACAGTGATCTATAGTCAAATTTAATAATCAAATTTTAATAATCAAATCAAAATAATCAAATTTGAATAGTTAAATTTAATTCTTCACAATCTCCATAAAAGCAAAAATTCCAAACTATTGAATGAATTGAAATATTTATTTGAATTTGGGACCTTGGGCATGTCTGAAGTTCTTGGAATAAGTAGTATTTCAAATTGAGAACTAGCCTGACACATAATAGGAAATAAAATTTTTTAAATGTTGACTGAATCAATGAATGAAGTAAATGTATATTTAGGGACTATGTGTTTGATGCATGCATATTAAAACCAAACTGGAAACATACCATTTTTACAAACTGTTAGCTACAGCTTTTCAGGCTGTGTGAAAATACTCAATACTAATAAAAATGTCCCTTACTAATGAGAAAAAAAAAAATCCATCACTAATAGGATTTCCCAGGAAGACTACTCTGGTTTTTAACATTTCTCTTAGGGCTTGAAATGTACAGCTTCAATTTTCTTAGGCAAAGCGCCAACTTCTATGGAGGTAAATGGATTCTTTTTTAATTAAAACAATTTTGGGATGGGGTAGTTTGTTCATGTTTTGATTCCAAAGTAGTTTCTTATTAGTTTTGATGGAATTTAAGTCCAAATTAAAATAAGAAATTACTTATAAAATAGTTCAATATGTCCTGTAGTGCTATAACTTAGTGGAATTTTAGAAACATAAATTCAGAAAATTATCCAGAATGTAAAAATTGGCCTGGGGGAAAATGGCCGTTTAAAATTTTTAAAAACTATTTAGACACATATTCATTTAGAGTAGATAGTTAAGTTTAAGTTGTGAAAACATAGACATAAATTTGTAAGCACATGGAGCCATATGGTCAGTTATCTAAGGGGAGCAGAGTGGTGGGTGGGTGGATGTCAGAAAAACAAGATCTGAAACAGAAGTACAAAGTTATTTATTATTTGTGAGAAATGTCCCCAAAGGACTCAACTATGTAGATTTGTTTGTCTACAGACTGTATGACGCTTTTTCAGAATTAAGTAATTCTGAGTGTCTATAACCCATTAGATTTGCTGGCATCTGCATTTGCCACACTCTTCAAAGTTTACTTTCCAAATAAAAAGTCTTGTTTCTAGCCACAGAGACCTTCACAGTCATTCCTTGAATATATCTTTCTGTTCTGTGCCTACTGTTCTTTCTGTCTGGAATTATCTCCTCTTCTTCCACAAAACAACTCCTTAAACTTTAAGAACAGACACAAGAATAATTCCTCCTGTGAAGTCTTCTCAGACTCCTCTAAAAGACATTCGTTACTTCCTCTGCAGTGTTCCCATAACTCAAGTATAGCACGTATACCATCAAACTGTATGTTTCTCTTCTGACATCCCCCCTGGTCTGTGAGTGCTCCTCTGGGGGGCAGGGACCATGGATCAGTCTCTGAAACTTTAGCATCTAGCACAGTTCACCACGCAGATGGTGCTTCGTAAACACGCTTGTTCATCAGAAGGCAGTGCTTAAAAAAAAAACCTAAAGTATTTTTAAAAATTCATGGAGAATGCAGAAAACTGTTTTATTTTATTTTATTTTAATATATCTTTATTGATTTCAGGGAGAGGAAGGGAGAAGGAGAGAGAGAGATAGAAACATCAATGATGAGTCATTGATCGGCTGCCTCCTGTACCCCCACACTGGGGATGGAGCCCACAACCCGGGCATGTGCCCTGACCAGGAATCGAACCGTGATCTCCTGGATCCTAGGTCGATGCTCAACCGCTGACCCACACCCGGCTGGGTTAGAAAACTATTTTAAAATAGAAAATTCTCTTTTTTCCTATACCACAGAATTCAAACCTTAGCCTTAGTAATTAACATTCCACAGTATATAAATACAATGAAATGTCATCTGTAGACACCTGAAGCTATTTAATTTATGGCACATAAGCATCGCAACAATAGGTCCAGCATCATTAAAATGTAAACTAAATGCAGAGCTAAAAATGAGTTTTCATTTAATTTACTGAGCCCATAAAGGCTATGGCACTAACATAAAGCAAATGGTACCAGAGCCAGGAACGCTTTGTTCTGCTCTGAATTCCTACGGCTCTGTTTACAACATTCTTAAGAGCTTGCTACGTACTATCTTGCAGACAGTCACGGGCATTGTTGAACTTCTTCCTACTAGATTTCTAGTCGCTTACTTTTTCATCCCTACTTACTGCCTGCCGCGTAACATGTAACCAGTGAGTGCCTGCTCACAAATTAGTCTCTCTTGGCTGATCAGCCAAGCTTCTTGTCAGTTATGTGTCTTCACATTCTTATAGATCTAGGTTCCTAGGTTGTCAATATTCAGCCTTCAGGAAGAAGTCAGAGAAGTTATCTGAATGGTTTGACCGAGAACGCCCAGGATGTTATGTCCTTAACAAACGCTATCTAAGTCTTATCTAATATGATATTAGTTATTTTTGACCACTCTAAATCACTGGATTTTTTCCGAAGTGATGGCACAGAAGGAAATCCTATTTTGCCCTTAGATTTATATAAAACATGTTTATAGTGCAGACAATATTATTGCTTGTGGTATAGACCTGCAAATTATATGAACGGATTTATGGGAACTGAAGATAAAAATGCTAGAAAGCTGCACTGTAGGTGACAAAGTAATAGTGTGGGTCCCCACAGAGGAAGGCGGACGAAAGAACTGAAATGAATCCTCGCTTTCTAACACTATCCCTGCTTACATTTGCAAGAAGGTATCTGATGCTTTGTTGCTTCTCTTTATTAACACCCTTTTTCAGAACCCTTCTCAAATCTATCTTTCAAGGCTCATTATCCAGAGAAACGAAAGAAAGGTTAAAAATATTTTCCTGTCTATATTTCATAGCACTGTCACCCAGGTAAAGCTTGAGGGGGGGAACAAATTCAGTCATCAAGGAGATCTTGGAACTAGCCAGGCAGGGTCTTGTTGTAGCATTCTTACTTATTCCAGAAGGACAGGAGCTATGGTTAGGAAAATTTCTCTACTGCTTAAGCTCTGACCCAGGTGAGTTAACATCCCAACGGAACCTAAATTTCAGGCATGTGGTCACTGGCAGAGCCAGTGCACAATCTGCCTCGATCTCCCCCTCTCTCCCTCTAGAACACTCCCCTGTCCACTCCAGCTGCCTGCCAGCGTGTCTTTCTTGCTGGATCTCCCTGGTACAAGCTGCCACGCCAGGCTACTGTGCCATCCCTCCATCTCCTGTCTCCACACTCAGCGACTGCTGGACTCCAGGTAAGTACCGCCTGAACTGCCTTTCTAACCTCACCTCCACCCGCCTAACGGAGCACAGCTACTCTCCTATTTTATCCATTCACTGAATTAAAAATAATTATTATGTTCTGATATGATACTGGGACTTAGCTTTTATTCTTCCACTGACAAGAATCTGAACTCTCATCCCAATGATAGTGGCCAGTCAAAAACATTAAGGGAAAAAACGAGTTAGGAAAGCGTTGGCTAGCATGCGCAGTCAGTAGAGTGACATCACCTGCTTGTTGGCCTTCAGCACTGCCCTCAGGGTGGCAATCTGCTCCCGTTTGGTGCTCAGCAGGGACTTGAGCTTGAGGATCTCTTCCATTAAGGCTTCCTTGTCTTTATCAATCATGGGGGCCAGCTCCCGCGCTGCTGCTCTTTGACGAGACAGTTGCAAGGACCGGTCCACGGCTTTCTGCAGGTGCTTGATTTGGTCCCGGATAATGGCATTAAGGTTGTAGATGTTCATTGGCTCTTTGCGGATGTCACTTGTATCTAATACTGGAGAGGATGGTGGGGCAGTAATAACAGGAGAGATAGTGGGGGTCTTGGTTGGACTTGGTTCTTTGCTGGCCTCTGTGTTTTCTTTTGTAACTGGTTCAGAGGAGGTCCTTGTTTCTACTGGGGATGACACCCCCCGCCTGGCTAACCGTGGAGACAAAAGTCCCCTGGGATCATCGGGCCCTTTCAGGCTGCCACTACGAGTAACTCTGCTTTGCCTATAGTAGTCCAGCATGACCCTGTTGGGGGTCTCATTGTTACACAGACACACATGGTGGTAAAGCTGAGCTAGCTCCTCACTGAATGTCACCAACTCATCCTGGGCTGTATTAAGGGTGTTGTGATTCTCGTTGGCTATGCTGGTCATCTTCTGCAATTCCTTCTCCATGTGGGCCATCTTCTCGCCACTCTCCTTGGTGGTCTTCTCGAGGCTTGTCACCTGTTCATCATACATTTGGATCTTACTCTCATACTTGGTCTTCTCTTCAGTATAGTTTTCGACAGATTTATTATATTTCTCCTTTAAGGCTTTAATTTCAGCTTTCAAATCGATCACCTCGGTCACTGCCACCCTGTACTTGCACTCGAGGATCTCGAGGCCGTGGATGTCCACCTCGTAGTCGTGCGCCTCCTCCCCCGAGTCCCGGCCCTTCTCGCCGTCCAGCTCGGCCCCGGGCTCCCTGCCGCTCTGCAGGCCCCGCATGGCGTTCACGTGCTCGGTGAGCCGGTGCACCCGCTCGTGCTGCTCCGTGAGCGCCCCCTTGGTGTGTTCCAGCTGCGTCTGTGACTCCTGCAGATTGGCCAGCAGGATGGCCTTTTCCCGCTCTACCTGCAACGGCAAAAGAAAGTCTCTGAGTGACTTCAACGCAATGCCATTGGTGAACTGAATCCAGTCCCCGTGGGACATGCATACATTTAAAATAACTGCAACAGAGCCAATATCTCCATTATTTCAAATTGAATTGGAGCGTGTTTTCTTACTTCAGCAGTTTTGGTAAGTCACTCACTCTAAAAGTACGTCATCCTAAAAGAATTAGGCTATGCATATTTACCCATCCAAAGTCTCACTCATTATACACATCCACTCATAAAACTTGAATGTTAGTCAAACAATCATATTTTCGTCTTTTAACACTTTACAGAAAATGTAACATGACTTAAAGAGACAGTACTTGGCATTGTATTCACTTTGAGAGCCTCAGAGTAGACCTGCTCCTTAGTCCATGTGGGATGCGTGGCTGTCTCAAGGAGCTCTGAATCATCCTTTCCTTCCCAGAGCCTAACCCAAAGTCAGGTTTAAAACCTAAGACTTTAACTTACTAATACTGCTGAGAACCTTGGACATTCCCTTAAAAATAAGCATTTAACCCCCAAAATAGACATGTACTAAGTTTGAGAGCTTTTAATATAGAATACAGAGTTTTAGTGCTAAAAGAACAATTTACAAATAATTTCAATTCCTTCACTCCAAAATAAGAATTTTTAAAATTGGTTATTAATCTGAATAATATGACAATTTTATTATTACATAGGTGGTAAGTATTACTGTATATTGAAAAATATTCAGGTCTCAATATAAAAGTGTCTCAATAAACATAAGTATAAAAGGAATTACAATCTAAAAAAATTTTAAACTATTTTCTGTCCCTCCATACGGGTAACTACTCTTATGATTAAGAATGTTTACATGTTTATAATGTAAATATATTTTTTGATAAGCAAATATTTACATTTTAAAGTATTATATAATAACTTTTCCATTTTAAAGCATTATATAAGGGTATCATATAGTTTTGCTTTCTATTTTTGTTGTTTTTTAAAATAAAACCATCATGAGACCTGCTTTAAGGATAACAGAGAAATTTATCAATTCAAACTTTCAAACTTTCCTGGATCATACACTGTATCTCTCCAAACTCTTCTAAATTCCTAGGAGGCAAGTAAATTATAATTACATAATAAATATCAATTATTAAAATGTAATTGTTTCTTTTAATCAGCATATTACTTTAGAAGATACCTATCTATTAATTTATAATACAGTAGAGCAGTATTTTTATGATCCTTTGTGGTACTTGATATCCTTCATATAATTACCATGTACAGACGATCCTCACTTGGCAAGGTTCTAATATGCATGAATTTCAGCGACCACGGTTTAAACACACCAGTCCCCCAAAACACAGTTCAAATTTCAATGACCAATATACTGAGTAAATGTAAAGTACAAACTTGGCCCCTTCAATCTACAAAATCACTACACAGTAACATCTTGACCATGACTTCATATAAAGACTGTCAGTGGTTGGTCTCTGTGTATCTGAGATTCAGTTCACTCATGGACAGCAAAGTGGGTAGTTGTTTGGTCTTCTTGTCTCCCAGTGATAAACCCACATGATGTTTTACAAAAAAAGATAATCCAAAGAGGGAACTGGTGAAAGAAGAAAGAGAGGGAGGGA